TTTCTTTCTTTCTTTCTTTCTTTCTTTCTTTCTTTCTTTCTTTCTTTCTTTCTTTTTCTTTCTTTCTTTCTTTCTTCTTTCTTTCTTTCTGTCTCTCTCTCTCTCTCTTTCTTTCTCTCTCTCTCTCTCTCTCTCTTTCTTTCTCTTTCTTTCTTTCTCTCTCTCTCTCTCTTTCTCTCTTTCTTTCTTTTTTTTTTTGAAGGCAGGGTAGTATTTCACTGGCTTGTTTAAAAAAATCCATGTATCTATTGGTGAATGCTTAAGTTGATTCCATATCTTGGCCATTGTGAATAATGCCTCAGTGAATATGGAAGTGCAACTCTCTCTTCAACATACTGATTTTATTTCCTTTGGATGAATATTGAAAAGTGGATTTTCTGGGTCACATGGCAGTTCTGTTTTGAGTTTTTTGAGGAGTCTTCATACTGTTTTCCATAATGGCTGCTGCTATTTTACATTCCTACCAACAGTGCACAAGAATTACCTTTTTCTTCACATTTTCATCAACCGTCATCTTTCATCTTTTTTTTTTAATAATAGCCATTCTAACAGGTATAAGGTAATATCATATTGTGACTTCCATTTGCATTTTCCTAATGATTAGTGATGTTGAGCATTTTTTCATGAACCTGTTGGCTATTTGGACTTCTTCTTTTGACCAATGTCTATTCAGGTCCTTTGTCCATTTTTAAAGCAGGTTATTTGTTTTTTTGGTGTTGATTTTAGTTTTTCATATGTTCTGTTAGGCTGTTCTTACATCACGCTAAAGAAACACATGAAGTTGGTAATTTATTTTCTTTATTTCTTTTTATTGTACTTTAGATTCTGGGGTACATGTGCAGATCATACAAGGTTGTTGCATAGGTACATTCATGGCAAGGTGGTTTGTTGCCACCATCCCCCCCATCACCTATACCAGACATTTCTCCCCATGTTATCCTTCCCCCACCCTCCCTCCCACTATCCTTCCTGTAGCCCCCTGCAATGGACCCCAGTGTTTGATGCTCCCCTCTTTGTGTCCAAGTGTTCTTATTGTTTAACACCCGCCTGTGAGTGAGAACATGTGGTGTTTGATTTTCTGTTCTTGTCTCAGTTTGCTGAGAATGATGGTTCCCAGGTTCATCCATGTCCCTAGAAAGGACACAGACTCATCGTTTTTTATGGCTGCACAGTATTCCATGGTGTATATGTGCCACATTTTCTTTGTCCAGTCTATCATTGATGGGCATTTGGGTTCGTTCCAGGTCTTTGCTATTGTAAACAGTGACATGATGAACATGTGTGTGCATGTGTCTTTATAATAGAATGATGATTTATAGTCCTTTGGGTATATAACCAGTAATGGGATTACTGGGTCAAATGGAATTTCTATTTCTAGATCCTTGAGGAATTGCCACACTGTCTTCCACAATGGTTGAACTAATTTACACTCCCAGCAACAGTGTAAAAGTGATCCTATTTCTCCACATCCTCTCCAGCATCTGCTGTCTCCAGATTTTTTAATGATCACCATTCTAACTGGCGTGAAGTGGTATCTCAATGTGGTTTTGATTTGCATTTCTCTAATGACCAGTGATGATGAGCATTTTTTCATATGTTTGTTGGCTTCATATATGTTTTCTTTTGAAAAGTGTCTGTTCATATCCTTCACCCACTTTAGTATGTTTGTTTGTTTTTTTTCCTTGTAAATCTGTTTCAGTTCTTTGTAGATTTCTGGATATTAGCCCTTTGTCAGATGGGAAGATTGTAAACTAACTCAAACCGCAAAACTTCATGGAGGCAGAGGTTGCAGTGAGCTGAGATGGTGTATTGCACTCCAGCTTGGGTGCAGAGAAATACTCTGTCTCAAAAAAAAAAAAAAAATACAAAGGGTCACAGGAAACTACTGTGAGCAATTATACTCCAATAAATTGGATAACTTAGAAGAAATAGATAAATTCCTAGACACATACAACCTGCCAAGATTGAATCATGAAGAAACAGAAAATCTGAATAGACCAATAGTGGACAAATAGATTCAATCAGTAATAAAAAGTCTCCTATTAAAGAAAAGCCCAGGACTGATTGGCTTCATAGCTGAATTCTACCAAACATTTAAAAAAGAACTAATTTGAATGCTTTTCAAACTCTTCCAAATAAATGGAAGAGAAAGGAATATCTTCAAATTCATTTTATGAGGACAGCATTATCCTAATGCTAAAACTGGATGCAGACACTACAAGAAAAGAAGTTACAGGCCAATATCCCTGATGTACATAGATGCAAAAATACTCGACAAAATACTGGCAAAACAAATTCAACAGCACATTAAAAATATTATTTACTATGATCAAATGGGATTTATCCCTGGGATTCAAAGCTTTTGCAACATATGCAAATCAATAAATGTGATACTCTATATGTGGTTCTGATTTCATCCCCCCTTCTCAATTATTTTCTCTGTCCTATACCATAAACGTTTTTTTAAATGTCTTAGCATCAACCTTAAAACATGCTTCTGAAAAATTCTCAATCTTTTTGCTTCTAAGGCTTACCAATTGGTTCTAATCTGAGAAACTTTAAAAACAATAGAATTTGAATGATTCTGACTGAATTGATTGGGATGAGGCATACGCATCAGTATCTTTTCAATAGTCCTCACATTTGCCTTCTCCCTGGGTACCTCCTTACCTGATGAAATCCTGTTTACCCTCTAGGATTCACCTGAATGTCATTTCCTCAAGGACATCTTCCCAAATAATTTGATCTAAAGCAGCTACCCTCATAGCTTTCTGTTTCCTTTCTTAGAGCATTGATCATATGTTTGATTCAGAGTTTCTAATCCTCAGCACCACTGACATTTTGGGCTGGATATAACTTTGTTGTGGGGGACTGTCCTGTGCCTTGTGGGAAGCTTTGCAACACCTCTGGACTCTGCCCATGGGATGCCAGAAGCACCTCATCGCCAGATGTGGCAACTAAAACTGTCTCCAAACATTGCCAAATGGCCCCAGGAGGGAATCCCTACCCCTCACCCCATTAGAACCACTGCTCTAACTCATGGTTATTTTATATATTGTCTGTCTTTCCCCTGTACTATCAGCTCCAGAAGAGTGCTTGCTTTGGCAGCACATCTACCAAAATTGGAATGATACAGAGATTAGCATGGCTCCTGTCCAAGGATGACACACATTTGTGCAGCATTCCATTAAGAAAAACCCCAAAACCATCAGAAGAGCTTTCCTCTCTGCTAGATTCTCAAGGACACACCTCAATGCCTAGGGACATCCCAAATGCTGGACAAGAATTTGTTGAATAAATGAATGAGTTGGCTAAGCCAGGATTTCAGAGCTCTAATGAGGGTGAAGACCACAGGTGTCAATAGTGGAGAAGAAAAGGAAGGAATAGATCTGAGCCACATTTAGAGAACAGAAATTAAATTTTATGGGAACACAGTCACATCCATTCATTTGCATATAATCTACAGCTGCTTTTGTGCTACAGAAGGCAGAGCTGAGTACTTGAAACAAAGACCACATGCTCATAAAGCTTTAAATATTTACTGTTTGACCATTCACAAAAAGAGTTGGTTGACCCCCTTTTTAGAGATTGTATTTAGAATATAAATCCTAAGTAAACTATTATGAAAGTAGCTAAATGATTATTTGCAAAACAGATTTTCATTTAAAAAATTTTGTACCATTGCTCTATTTCTCACATACTAGAAATTTCCATGCACAAAAAATGCACAAACATGTATTGCAGAGACGTTCTTTCCTGAGAAATATTTTATCCTGTTACTGGATTTTTTTGAGGGAATTTGAATGTACCCTACTCCTCTTTTCCTAGAAGGTCAGAACTTCTTTTAAAAAAAAATTCAGTCTCTAGTTTTCTAAAGATTTTCTTGGGAATGAGGAAAAATTAAGAAAAACGGTCTCAGTCCTCTGTGTAAAAAACTATTTTTATTTACAGCTTTTGTCACACTAAAGACACAAATTTGTTTATTTTGTGTCTGCTGACAGAATATATAAATTCTGTCTTGCAGATTGAGTGAAGCTTTTATAGTTCGTTCACTGACTCATTCAACAAGCATTAAGAAATGCCTTCAGATAGACCAATAACAAGTACTGAAATTGAGACAGTAATTAATAGCCTACCAACCAATATAAACCCAGAACCAAACGGATTCACAGCCAAATTCTACCAGAGCTAAAAAGAGGAGCTGGTACCATTCCTTCTGAAACTATTCCAAACAACAGAAAAAGAGGGACTCCTTCCTAACTTATTTTATGTGGCCAGCATCACCCTGACACCAAAACCTTTCAGAATGCAACAAAAAAGAAAATTTCAGGTCAATATCCCTGATGAACATTGATGCAAAAGTTCTCAACAAAATATTGGCAAACCAAATCCAGCAGCACATCAAAAAACTTATCCACCACGATCAAGTTGTCTTTATCCCTGGGATGCAAGTCTGGTTCAACATATGCAAATCAATAAGCATAATCCATCACATAAACAGAACCAATGACAAAAACCACATGATTATCTCAATAGATGAAGAAAAGGTCTTCAATAAAATTCAACACCCCTTCATGCTAAAAACTCTCAATAAACTAGGTATTGATGGAACACATCTCAAAATAATAAAAGCTGTTTATGACAAACCCACAGCCAATATCATACTGAATGGGCAAAAGCTGGAAGCATTCCCTTTGAAAACTGGCCCAAGACAAGGATGCCCTCTCTCGCCCCTCCTATATAACATTCTACTGGAAGTTCTGGCCAGGACAATCAGGCAAAAGAAAGAAAAGGGATTCAAATAGGAAGAGAGAAAGTCAAATTGTCTCTGTTTGCAGATGACATAATGGTATGTTTAGAAAACTCCATTGTCTTAGCTCCAAATCTCCTTAAGCTGATAAGCAACTTCAGCAAAGTCTCAGGATATAAAATCAATGTGCAAACATCACAAGCATTCCTATACACCAATAATACACAAATGCAAAGCCAAATCATGAGTGAACTCCCATTCACAATTGCTACAAAGAGAATAAAATACCTAGGAATACAACTCACAAGGGATGTGAAGGGTCCCTTCAAGGAGAACTACAAACCACAGCTCAAGGAAATAAGACAGGACACAAACACATGGTAAAATATTCCATGCTCATGGTTAGGAAGAATCAATATTGTGAAAATGGTCATACTGCCCAAAATAATTTATAGATTCATTGCTATCTCCATCAAGCTGCCACTGACTTTCTTCATAGAATTAGAAAAAACTGCTTTAAATTTGATATGGAACCAAAAAAGAGCCCATATAGCCAAGACAGTCCTAAGCAACAAGAACAAAGCTGGAGGCATCACACTACCTGACTTCAAACTATATTACAAACCTACAGTAACAAAAGCAGCAGGGTACTGGTAACAAAACAGATATGTAGACCAACGGAACAGAACAGAGGCCTCAGATATATGCCACACATCTACAGCAATTTGATCTTTGACAAACCTGACAAAAGCAATGGGGAAAGGATTCCCTATTTAATGAATGGTGTTGGGAAAACTGGCTCCCCTATGCAGACAGATGAAACTGGACCACTTCCTTACACCATAAAAATTAACTCAAGATGGATTAAAGACTTAATTGTAAGATCTAAAACCATGAAAACCCTAGAAGAAAACCTAGGCAATACCATTCAGGACATAGGCATGGGCAAAGACTTCATTACTACAACACCAAAAGCACTGGCAACAAAAGCCAAGCTTGATAAATGGACCTAATCTAACTAAGTAGCTTCTGAACAACAAAAGAAACTATCATCAGAGTAAATAGGCACCCTACAGAATGGGAGAAAATTTTTGCAATCTATCCATCTGACAAAGGCCAATATCCAGAATCTACAAAGAACTTAAACAAGTTTACCAGAGAAAATCAACCCCATCAAAAGTGGGTGAAGGATATGAACAGACACTTCTGAAAATAAGACATTTATGTAGCCAACAAACATGTGAAGAAAAGCTCATCATCACTTGTCATTAGAGAAATGCAAATCAAAACCACAATGAGATACCATTTCATGCCAGTTAGAGTGGCGATCATTAAAAAGTCAGAAAACAACAGATGCTGAAGATGTGGAGAAATAGGAATGCTTTTACACTGCTGGTTGGAGTGTAAGTTAGTTCAACTATTGTGGAGACAGTGTGGCAATTCCTCAAGGATCTAGGACCAGATATACCATTTGACTCAGCAATCCCATTCCTGGGCATATACCCAAAAGATTATAAATCATTCTACTATAAAGACACATGAACATGTATGTTTATTGCAGCACTATTCACAAAAGCAATGACTTGGAGCCAACCCAAGTGCCCATCAGTGATAGACTGGATAAAGAAAATGTGGCACATATACATCATGGAATACTATGCAGCTATTAAAAAGGATGAATTCATGTCTTTTTCAGGGACATGGATGAAGCTGGAAACCATCCTCAGCAAACTAACACTGGAACAGAAAACCAAACACCGCATATTCTCACTCATAATTGGGAGTTGAACAATGAGAACACATGGACACAGGGAGGGTAACACCACACACCTGGGCCAGTCAGGGGGTGGGGGGATATGGGAGGTTTACATTTACATTAGGAGAAATACCTAATGTAGTTGATGGGTTGATGGGTGCAGCAAACCACCATGGCATGTGGATACCTGTATAACAAACCTACACGTTCTGCACATGTATCCCAGAACTTAAAGTAGAATTGAAAAAAAGAAAAAAGAAATGCCTTTGAGCACTGGACCCTGCAGAAGCAGAGGTGTATAAAATGTAGTCTTTGCTGGTAATCTACCAGCAGCAACAGACAGGAAACAATTATATCTGGAAGAAAGCCTTTATTGTGCTAAAATAACGTGAACATGGGAATGCAGGGAAGGTCCAACCAAGGCTGCTTTACAAAATGGAAGGAAGCATAGGTTTTGTATCTTAAATTATACTTTTATTTGTTATGTAACAAGTTATTAATAGATACTAAGGCACCAGTATCTTGGTTAGAAGAATTTTTACCCTAAATCTAAAACTCAAATGTAGCATCAACTGTAAAAATCATGTTTAACAATGGTTGAACTAATTTACATTCCCACCAACAGTGCAAAAGTGTTCCTATTTCTCCACATTCTCTCCAGCATCTGTTGTCTCCAGATTTTTTAATGATCGCCATTCTAACTGGCATGAGATGGTATCTCAATGTTGTTTTGATTTGCATTTCTCTGATGACCAGTGATGATGAGCATTTTTTCATATGTTTGTTGGCCTCATGTATGTCTTCTTTGGTAAAGTGTCTGTTCATATCCTTTGCCCTCTTTTGAATGGGCTTGTTAGTTTTTTTCTTGTAAATCTGTTTTAGTTCTTTGTAAATTCTGGATATCAGCCCCTTGTCAGATGAGTAAACTGCAAAATTTTTTTCCCATTCTGTTGGTTGCCGATTCACTCTAATGACTGTTTCTTTTGCTGTGTAGAAGCTGTGGAGTTTGATTAGGTCCCATTTGTCTATTTTGGCCTTTGTTGTCAATGCTTTTGGTGTTTTGGTCATGAAGTCCTTGCCTACACCTATGTCCTGAATGGTTTTGCCTAGATTTTCTTCTAGGGTTTTTATGGTGTTAAGTCTTATGTTTAAGTCTTTAATCCATCTGGAGTTAATTTTAGTGTAAGGTGTCAGGAAGGGGTCCAGTTTCTGCTTTCTGCACATGGCTAGCCAGCTTTCCCAACACCATTTATTGAACAGGGAATCCTTTCCCCATTGCTTGTTTTTGTCTGGTTTGTCAAAGATCAGATGGTTGTAGATATGTTGTGTTGCCTCCGAGACCTCTGTTCTGTTCCATTGGTCTATATCTCTGTGGCAATTCCTCAAGGACCTAGAAATAGAAATTCCATTTGACCCAGCAATCCCATTACTGGGTATATATCCAAAGGATTACAAATCGTTCTACTATAAGGACACGTGCACACGAATGTTCATTGCAGCACTGTTTACAATAGCAAAGACCTGGAACCAACCCAAATGCCCATCGACGATAGACTGGATAGGGAAAATGTGGCACATATACACCATGGAATATTATGCAGCCATCAAAAACGAGGAGTTTGGGTCCTTTGTAAGGACATGGATGAACCTGGAAACCATCATTCTCAGCAAACTGACAGAAGAGCAGA